GCTGGAATACACTCACTCCTTAACTCTATATGCTCTTTTCTGGCTCAAGGATCAACTGTAAGATTGCAACTACTCAATCCAGTGACACCTTCCCAGTCTCAAATTCTCAGCTCTAAAATTCTGATCACTTCCCATCCGACTGTGGAAAAAGTCATGAGGTCATGCAGTGCGGTATTGTATACTGTTTCTTATATGATCACTACTATTTCCAATCAGAAGAGATTTCTCTTAATAACTATGGTCCTCTCAAATTAACATTCCTACTGATGTAGTGAGGAATGGGAGCTCTGAAGTAAAGTCAGATCACAGGTTACATTTGAGTCCAAAATCTGACACATACTAGTTAAATGACTTCATCTAACTTTCCACTGCTTCAGTAATTTCATTCATAAATTGAGAATTTTATTAAGTAATAGTAATACTAATTATATTAACAGTAGTTAGTATATACTGAATATTTCATTCTAATCACTAAGGACTTTATATGCATTATCTTATGTAATCTACAACAACTTCATGAAGCAAATAGTATTATTATTCCCATTCTACAGATTTTAAAACTGAGACTTAATGAATATAAGAAACTTGCCCCTAATCACACCACAAATGGGTAATAGCCTGGACTAGTAAAATCTGGTAAAACAGGTATCAGAACTCAAGTTTATATAACTGTAAAGTTAAATCTCTTAACAACTTTATTTTTCCACTTTCCCTATACTTAACTGTATGTAAAGATCTCCTACAGAGCCCTGTACAGAATATGAAGCCATTAGATAGTCAGCTGGCATCATCATGATGGTGTTGTCATCATTATTATTGAACAAAGGATTACATTCTAACTTGGACAACAGTCTTTGTGTATAGTCTTTTCTCAACTTGGTTTTTTATCATTTGAGGAAAGGAGTCAATCTTTTTCTCTGAAAATGTTATAGTGTTTCATGTACTAGAAGAAAACATAGGTATGTTCCTTTATAAGTTAGGTACAGTGAAAACTGTCCTGTGACACAAAATATAGAAGTAATAAAAAAATTGATAAATTTAACTACATAAAAATAAAATTATATTTGCATGGAAAAAAGTACTATAAGCAAAGTAAAAAGACAAGCTCAGGGCTGGTGCACTGGGATGACCCTGAGGGATGGGATGGGGAGGGAGGTGGGAGGGGTTTCTGGATGGGGAACACACGTGCACCCATGGCTGATTCATGTCGATGTTTGCCAAAAACCACTACAGTATTGTAAAGTAATTAGCCTCCAATTAAAATTAATTAATTAATTTTTAAAAAAAGGACAAGCAACAAATTGGGATAAATATTTGCTACTTGTATCACAAATATAAGATTCTTCTGTCATCGAGGTAGATGTGTTGATCAATGAAATAGAATACAGAGCCCAGAAATAAACCCTCCTGTGTGTGGTCAAACGATTTTTGACAAGGGTGCAAAGACCATCCAATGGGGAGAGGGCAGTCTTTTCAGCAAATAGAGCTGGAACTCCAGATATCCACACACAGAAGAATGATGTTGGACCCCTACCTTCTGTTATGCATAAAATTAACTCAAAACAGATGAAAGACCTAAATGTAAGAATCCAAGCAATAAAACTCTTAAAAAAAAAAAACAAAAAGGAAAAGCTTCATGACACTGGATTTGGCAAGAATTTTAGGGATATGATACAAAAGTACAATCAAAAAGAAAAACTAAATAAAAGGCTTTCATCAAAATTTTCTGCACATCAAAGGATGCACTCAACAGAGCAGAAAGGAAATTCATAGAGTGGGAAAATATTTGTAAATACATATCTGATGAACAATTAGTATCTAGAATTTATAAATGACAAAAATAAAAACCCACTTAAAAATGGAGAAAGGGTTTGAGTACACATTTCTTCAAAGAAGATATACAAATGGCCAATAATCAAACTCTACATCACTAATTATTAGGGAAGCACATCTCAAAACCAAAGTGAGATATCAACTTATATCTATCATTTTATATCCATCACTTTATATCTATTATGAAAACAATATGAGTTGGTAAGATGTTGAGAAATTGGAATGAGTGTGCATTGCTGGTATGCCAACATAGTCTCTCAGGTTTGGGAATGAGTTCAACATACATGATCAGTATAATATATGGCTACCACAAAGGCCTCTGTAAACTTAAGTTGCATTAATAGAAAACTGAGCCCCAAGAATGTGATGAAATAGGTCTCTTCTACAAGGACTGATCAGACTACACCTTAAGTGTCATTTTCTGTTTTGCATCTTTCATGGGATAATGTCAGGTCAGAGTACATCCAGAGGGATGTGACTAAGATGGTGGAGGAGCATGCAGTAAAGTCACATGAGTTGCTCCAAAAGAACTGGGAATATTTAGCTCCGAGAAAACAGTTCTTGGGCTAGACATGAGCTACATGTTCCCAGCTCTTTGAAACCAAGTCCATAGCCACTTTAAAAACTACATAATTAGAATATATATCTCCTAATTTTTACAATCTACTTTTCCTCTTAATTCATTCAGCAAACTTATACTCAGTAATATTCATGTTAATAAGGTCTTTTTATCATTATTTTAAGTAAGGTATATTCGGCTTTTCATTTTTTTTATTCACTCTATTCCAGGGTCCATCATATTTAAATAGTGCTGCAATTTTTATTCAGATTCAAAGAATGCTTACAATTTCAAGGACTTTGGTTTTCTTTGAACTTATCTGCCTAAATTGTGATGTATTAGCAATTACAATAGTTAATATCACAGAATATACACTGTCCTTTGGTGTATGGGATGTTAAACTATGTTACCATGGTCATTTACTTATCAGCTACTCAGTGCTGTTCTCAAACAGCCCTGGTTAAAGCAGCCATAATTATACTAAACTATAGCTGAAACGAAAGTATCTGGGAAACATCCTAATGGAAGCTCAAAACCCCCTTTCTACAAGAAAATTAGCACTCTTGAAGGCCTAATCAGCATGGTTAAGGGTACTTCTGATGCCAAAACTGAAAGCACTCAAAATTTCCATGCCATCAGCTTGTGGAAGATTGCCATTCAAGGGGCAAAATGCAAAGTGTATTTGAAAATGATTAAAAGAGAGGCTATTTTGACATAAAGAATAATATAACAGACATGGAAAGCTGGTTTTCTGAAAATGATTGTGCTACAGATGTCATTAGGAAAGCTATAAAGTATATCATTGAAAAATACATTAGAAATATGGTTAAACTCCATAAGTATGCATAACCCATAGAGAAACAATACAACAAAGTGAAATTGCCCCAAATCATCCTGAATAGGCATTATATTTAGGAGTAATGTATTATATTCCATTCAGAGAAATGTTATGGTTTCCATTTTTAAGAAAGATTTTTCTTTCTGTTTCCATACAGGTCCCTTGTTTATATTTTCATGAAACTTTTACAGATTTCTTCTTTAAAATATAGAGTATTTTATACAACTTTTCAATACATAAAACTTTTTAAAAGCATGGTTCAAACTGCTTATAACTGAAGAACACAAAAGTATATTTCTTGTGGCTTGTTAAACATGTTTATTTTCATTAGGGTTACCTAAAAGTTTCATTTGATTTTCTATAAAACTGTTTAAAGAAAAGTTTTGGTCTTTATAAATATTCACATATTTTGGCTTAAAACCATAAAAGTAAATTTGGGACGTAATCTTCATGTTCTTTTATAAATTATAAATGAATTATCTGTTATTTGGAATTGTTCAATGTCAATCAAATGATTCCATGCTGGACTCTCCATAATCAAGCCCAACATTTAAAAGCTTAAAGTTATTTTAACCTATTTTAAAGAAGGCACTCTACATAAGTTCTCTAAATTGTAAACCAATATCTATTTTGAGTCAGAAGTCATGATGTAGATTTCTCTGTACTTCTAAGCTATTGTAGAGAAATAATTCTAGGTTCATTGCAGAGAAACTGAGGCACTTTTTAAATTTTTATTTTTTAATTTATTTTAATTGGAGCCTAATTACAATATTGTGGTGGTTTTGGCCATACATTCACATGAATCAGCCATGGGTGTATATGTGTTTTAAATGTAGTTCAAGCTTTATAGTAGCTGAAACTGGTTCTGAGGCTATGTTAGAATTGACTCTTAGGTGACAGAACTTGAGGCAAAGGGAATATGTGAAAATACATGCCTACAGAAGAGTTAGAATTTTGCTTTATCTATCATTGAAAAATACATTAGAAATATGGTTAAACTCCATAAGTATGCATAACCCATAGAGAAACAATACAACAAAGTGAAATTGCCCCAAATCATCCTGAATAGGCATTATATTTAGGAGTAATGTATTATATTCCATTCAGAGAAATGTTATGGTTTCCATTTTTAAGAAAGATTTTTCTTTCTGTTTCCATACAGGTCCCTTGTTTATATTTTCATGAAACTTTTACAGATTTCTTCTTTAAAATATAGAGTATTTTATACAACTTTTCAATACATAAAACTTTTTAAAAGCATGGTTCAAACTGCTTATAACTGAAGAACACAAAAGTATATTTCTTGTGGCTTGTTAAACATGTTTATTTTCATTAGGGTTACCTAAAAGTTTCATTTGATTTTCTATAAAACTGTTTAAAGAAAAGTTTTGGTCTTTATAAATATTCACATATTTTGGCTTAAAACCATAAAAGTAAATTTGGGACGTAATCTTCATGTTCTTTTATAAATTATAAATGAATTATCTGTTATTTGGAATTGTTCAATGTCAATCAAATGATTCCATGCTGGACTCTCCATAATCAAGCCCAACATTTAAAAGCTTAAAGTTATTTTAACCTATTTTAAAGAAGGCACTCTACATAAGTTCTCTAAATTGTAAACCAATATCTATTTTGAGTCAGAAGTCATGATGTAGATTTCTCTGTACTTCTAAGCTATTGTAGAGAAATAATTCTAGGTTCATTGCAGAGAAACTGAGGCACTTTTTAAATTTTTATTTTTTAATTTATTTTAATTGGAGCCTAATTACAATATTGTGGTGGTTTTGGCCATACATTCACATGAATCAGCCATGGGTGTATATGTGTTTTAAATGTAGTTCAAGCTTTATAGTAGCTGAAACTGGTTCTGAGGCTATGTTAGAATTGACTCTTAGGTGACAGAACTTGAGGCAAAGGGAATATGTGAAAATACATGCCTACAGAAGAGTTAGAATTTTGCTTTCGATGGAATATGGGTTCATTGTTAAACAGAGCAGAAAACAAAAATTGACAAGTGGATTAATAGACAGGTTGGGACAGATTTTTAAGTGTTTACTGTTTAGTCCTAAAATGGATTTTGTGTTTTGGCAAGTTTTTCTCCTTTTTTTCAGAAGAAGCGTTCCATGCTCAGTTTCTACTCTAAGACAGTAACTCAAGCACTAATATTAACAACAAGATTAGAGGTGGGAGCGACTGAAAGTAGGGCTATTGGGAGACACTGATCACAAGAGTAATGGTCGATCATTTTATTCACTAATTCATTCAGTGTAAAGCTGAGCATCTACTATGCAGGCCAGGTATTTGCTTGCTAATGGAAATGCAGAAACGGAATAAGATAGCAACTTTCAGAGTGTGATGAGTGAAAACAACCATGAGAACTTAATAGCTGCTTCAGAGTCCATCTCAAATGCCACCTCTTCTTTTAAACTCTCCCACCCTCGTCTGGAAATAATTGCACCTTATTTTGTGTTTCCATAGGGCTTGGTTTATGCTTCCATCACGGATGTTTTATGTTGTATTTGAGCTTTATATATATATACATATATATATACACACATGTCTCTCTTGCCAACTAAATTGACCTAGATAGAAAGAACCATGTCATATTTGCTGAACAGAGAAGGCAGAACATGAAATTTGTTTCTTTGTCATCATCAGCTGGTTCTAACTCATACCAGTCTGCTTCTTTCTAATATTATGTTACAAAATGAAAGCCATTTATTCAAATTTTCTTCATACCACTGGGCCCTACTTCCATAAATATCTGACCTTTTGCAGAGTTTTAAATTACTTACATCCGCTTAAAGTTTTGAGGACTAGCAACATTAGTGTTTGTAAGTGTTTGGAGGCCCAGAGCAAAAAGTCTAAAATTTACTTTAGCCTAGGTTAAAACCATTTTCACAACAGCAATAATTGTTTTTTGTAATTGTCACTAATTTTACATTTTCCAGTGCTGCTAAAGTACAAACAAAATCACAAAGATATCATAAAATACCCTTGGCAATAGATACGTTTACAATGACTGCAAATTTTCTGAAGTCATGATGGCAGGTGCTATGGCTCTGACTCTACAATATTCTGTCTTCTGGATCCATGGTTCTTTGTGATATTTTGAGTTAATTACTCTTGATCTGCAGCAGGCTGTTACTATAGTGTTTTGAGCTGTAGGTGAAATAATGAATGATTAAAAGGGAGAACAGCTAATTTTTAAAAAATGGGTAAGATTAGGAAGGATCATTGAAAGAAACAGGATGACTGTACAAAACAGTAACTGATTGAGTATACTTGAAGGCTCATAGTATTTTTACTGTTGTACTAAATATCTGGAGTAAAGTTTGTGCCTTTTGCCTTGCCTTTTTAAATACAAATATCAAAATTATACTAAATGGAACAGTGAGTAGATTTCAAAGGTGATAAGTTTCTTGCTTCTTTAAAATTATTATTATTTTCTGTTGCCACTGCGGCTGGGAGCAGAACTGATCTGCAATGAGGAATAGGAGTAAAGTAACACTCATCTCTTGAAAACAGAGATTTAGGTGTGTAACTATTTTTGCAAGGTGACTTAGTTTGGGATCCCCAGAAGCAGACTCTGAGCAACTAATTTATGAGTGAAGTTTTCCCAGGAGAAACTGGTAAGGGATGCAAGAAGGAAGAAAGAAGCCAAGTGAGGCTGTTGTACTGGGCAAAGTCCTTTTGAGGGTAGCAAAGCTCCCACAGACAGTATTAGGTGAGAGCTAGTGGAGGTAAAATCACAGCTCACTTGGGAGAGGGGTGCTCCTCAAGGATTTTTTTTTTCCATTTATTTTTATTAATTGGAGGCTAATTACTTTACATCATTGCAGTAGTTTTTGTCACACATTGAAATGAATTAGCCATGGATTTACATGTATTCCCCATCCCGGTCCCCCCTCCCACCTCCCTCTCCACCTGATCCCTCTGGGTCTTCCCAGTGCACCAGGCCCAAGTGCTTGTCTCATGTACCCAACCTGAGCTGGCTCCTCAAGGATTTTTAAAAAGATCTGAGAGAATCTGGGCAGAGCACTGACTGTCTACTACACAGTGTTTCGCAGAAAATTTATCTTTGTGGCGCATTTCGAAGTAAAGATGGAGCCTCCTGCATAAGACAGTTGCAAATTAAAGATTATCTTTAATGTTCAGGATCTGTATTTTGGCCAGTGAATTAAACTTTGAGTTACAACAAAAATGGGAATTGGAACTTAAAGATGATACAACTGGAGCTGTGCAGGGAGTGAGAAAAGGAAAGCTCTGAAGGTAGAAGTGGTATTTTTTGATGGAAAGAAAAAGAAAAGTGAGAGAATTAGACTAATTATTAGGAAACTGTGCATGAGTAATTACATTGACAGATTAACTGAAATTGAAAGACACAGAGGATGAATAATCTAAATTGGTGAAAGATTAGAAAAAGAATGGACTCTTTTGAGAATTGAGTGCTTTATATAAACTTGTATGAACCACAAATAAAATAGCAACATTTTCTAACTTCCCAGTCAAGTCAACATTACATCCAATGGATGGAGGCATCCTCAAAGCAGTATCCCTCCAAGGAACAACAGAAACTTGATAATGGCTGTACACAGTCCGCGTGGAAAAGACATATGAGGGGAAAACTGTGTAATGTTTTCAGCCCAACAGATACATCTGGCTGGCTGACTGGGCTTGAATTAGTTAACACTAGTCCCTGAAGACGAAACAACTCAGTTCTGCAGGATTGTTACATTTCTCCCATATCACATACACAATGAGGCACTATGGAATCAAGGAAAAATAAGTCTTGAGAGCACCATGAGGAAGCTTCTCTGATATGAGCACAGGGATTACAAATTTCTATTCTACATAAAACAATGTCACAGAGAGTAATAAGTAGATGAGGTGGATGGTATGTCTTAATGTAAATGTTTTGGACAAGAGAAATTTGGAAATGTATCTTAGATAGGCAGTGCATTATCATTGCCTCTACATTACCTCGTGCTATGTGACTGAGCAATACTGGCAAATATCTGTAATTTAAGTGTTTTATTCTGATTCTTACATGATTGTTATGCCAGAGAGCTTTTTAAAACTATTTATCACGTTAACTCTGGTTTTGCTTTTGGAATACATCATCTAATTAATTAAGAGATTGAAGTTTCATTATTTCATGTCTGTCTTTACTGGGTTATGTCAGCAGCAACTCTGTCATTAGTAAATCATATGCTATTTTTATGTTTCTCAAGATCTAGACTGCGGTCATCATTTAAATAGAACATTACAGGGGATAAAAAGCAATTTGAAGCATTCTATTCTTAGCTATGTATTGAATAAATCTATTCTGCTATTAGTATCTATTTCTTTTTCCTTATTTCGGTCATAGTAACATTCAGGAGAAAGTGCTATATGGTAAGCTAATGTGATATAGAAGACCCATTACTTACCTGCCAAATTTATCAGAAAAGTAAAAGAAAAAAATCCTTCCCTTAGAAATACATTATAAATTTAAGTAAGCAAATACAGGATAGGTTACTTATGACAGGCATATAACTTTTAGCTTTTGATCATTAGCTTTACTAATCATTAGCTTAATTTATGAAAAATAAAATATTTATCATACTGAAAACATGAGCAACTAATAAATCGGATAGTGTTCAGTTGAAAAACCATAAGTTTTTCTTAATCTACTGACTCTCCCCACCAAAAAATAGTCCTAAATTTCCACAGTATTGATGGAGGCCTTAATTATTTTTATGGATGAACAAAGGATTCCAGTTCAATCAATGAAGATGATATAGGAACTTGGCGTGTTAACTGCAATACCCTCCATGGCTCACACAGTAAACAATCTCTCTGCAATTCAGGAGACCTGGGATCGATCCCGAGGCTGGGAAGATCCCCTGGAGAAGGGACAGGATACCCACTCCAGTACTCTTGCCTGGAGAATCCCAAGGACAGAGGAGCCTGGTGGGCAACACGACTGAGCGACTAACACTTTCATGTGAACTTTACAAGGTTCCAGAACAACCTTTACAAGTAGAATTTCACTTTCCTTGCAAAATGCTTTACTAATACTGACTTGCATGCACTGTTATCAATGGATCTGAGTGCTTTAAGAAAAAAAAAGACATTTTTATAACAGTCGTAGGTTTACAACAAAATTAAAAGTTAGAAGTTTCCCCTATACTTCCTGTTCCCACACATGTGTAGCCTCCCCATTTATTACCATTACTCACCAGAATGGCACATTTTTTTAAACCGAGGATAAACCTACCTCAAAATCACCCAGAGGGCAGTTTACCTTAGGATTCACCCTTGGTATTGTACATTCTGTGCATTTGAACAAATGTATAATGACATATATCCATCATTATGGTATCATACAAAATGTTTTCAATGCCCCCCCAAAAAAATCCTTTGTGTTCTGCCTAATCATCTCTCCTCTAACCCCTCCCCGCCTAGTGACCCTGGCAACCCCTGATCTTTTTACTGTCTCCATAGTTTTGCCTTTTCCAGAACGTCATATAGTTGAACTTAGGTAACCTTTTCAGATTGGCTTCACTTAGTAATATACATTGAAGTTTTCTCATATCTTTTCATGGCTTGATAGTATTTCTTTCTTCAGCACTGAATAATATTCCATTATTTGGCTGTATCACAGCTTATTTACTCATTCACCTACTGAAGGTCATCTTGGCTGCTTCCAAGTTTTGGCAATTACGAAAAAACCTACCATAATCATCTGTGTTTTGGTGTGGATATTGGTTTTCTATACTCCTTTGGATAAATACCAAAGAGTGTGACTACAGGACCATATCTTAAGAGTAGTATGTTTAGTTTTGTAAGAAACCACCAAACAATCTTCTAAAATGACTTGCCTTCCCAGCAACAATAAATGAGAAGGTCTCTGTTGCTCCACATTCTCATCAACATTTGGTGGTGTTGGTGTTCTAGATTTTGATCATTCTGATAGGTATTTGGTAGTACCTCGTTGATTTATTTCTCATTTTCCTGATGACATTTCATGTGGAACATCTTTTCATGTGCTTATTTGCCATCTGTATATCTTCTTTGGTGAGGCATCTGTTAAGGTCTCTGGCCCATTTTTTAATCTGTTTATTTGTTTTCTTATTGTTGAGTTTTAAGAATTTACTTTGTATTTTAAATAATGCTTCTTTACCAGGTTTGTCTTTTGCAAATGTTTTCTTTCAGTCTAAGGCTTGTCTTATCACTCTCTTGACAGTGTCTATCACAGAGCAGACACTTTTAATTTTAATGACATCCAGCTCTTCAATTATTTCTTTCATGAGTTGTGCCTTTGGTATTGTATCTAAGAAGGACATCCCTATGCTGATGGTCATCTAGGTTTTTTCCTATGTATCTTCTATCAGTTTAATAATCTTGCATTTTGAAGTTATGTCTGTGATCTACTAACCTTAACCCCAGTCCTAAAAAAGTAGCAAAAAAAAAAACAAACAAAACCTAGCTCTGAGTCATGGACCACTGGCTGTGTTACAGCATAAGCCACTTGAAGTGTTAGCCATGATTAGCCATGCAAATTCCTAATAGGCCTACAATTATTAGGCATAATAAGATCATTAATATCAGGTTTTAAATCAGCTATAATCTAGCTGAGTCTTTGCACATACATAGGTGAGGACAAAATGGACCTGAGATACTTTTTTGATGTTATTGCTTTGACTCATTAAATCCTAAAAGTGAATATTTAAAAACTGTATCTTAAATAATTAATAATTTATTTCTGCTTCTAAAAATTTGATTCAATGGAGCCACAAGAAGGACCACTTTTACTCTAAAAGTGACAAATTAAGTATTGATTTGTTGCTGTGGACATAGTATATTACTTTCAATGAGAAAAAATACATGCTAGTCTACACTGGCTACCATTCATTTTTCAAGAGCTGGTATGTTTGTCTTACATGATGCTATAACTTCAATTTAGTTATAAAATAGTAAGAATGTATAGACAGAAAAGTGAACACAAGATTGTATACATTGCAAAGCTCTAAAATACATTTATCCAACAGCAAAGAAAAAATTATTGTTACCTTCTGGATAAAACAGAAAACTAAGTAAATATCGAAAGCCTTGAATACATTATAATAAATGTCAATATTTATGGACTTCTGTGAAGCCAAGGTAAAAAAGCAGGTTGTCTAAAACAGACAACCATTTAAAATATCTTAAAAATTGAAATCATTGAAAATTCAAGTGCTTCTTTTCTTCTAAATGTTTGCTTCATATAATAGTGAGGGCAACATGTTTATAAATAGGCATTGATGAGTTCAGGATATCTTATACAATCAAAATAATCACACAGAGTCTTCCACTATTCTGTGAGCCTTCCTACTGTCTCTCTATTGCTATCAATTACAGAGTTGGAAGGAACTTTAATAAAAAGATGACTGACTCAAAAGAGGAGAAAATATATCTGTCATTAAGACAACCCCTTGATAGTGGATGCTGTTGTTAAGACGCAAAGAGTTTTCTCACCTTTCTATCCCATAATTTTTGTGGCATAGTCTGTGCTTTACAACACCCTATAGCCATGCTAATCTTTCATTTCAATACGTTTTCTCAGTTCAGCAGCGGTTTTCTCCAGCTGTTGGATGTTCCATTGCCATTGTCTTCTATTTGAGTGAAGCTTGTTTACCTGACAGTGCAAACGCTTGAGAATTGCACCGTATCTTTTATGCTGTACCTATTAAAAGAAGAGCACATATCAACAGGGCTTGAGAAGGAAAAACAGTAAAGAGCCATAAAGGATATTTTGACTAAATAGGCAAGCACTCAATAAAAATTACTTAATAAATAACAATGATAATAAAAATAAACAGTAATTGTAACTATTTATTCAATGCTTACTACATGTTAGATACTGTGATGAGAGCTTTTTACATATAATTAAATCCTCGTCTTATGATGTAAAGATTATTATTCCCATTGTTGTATAAATTGAAGATCAAAGAGTTTAAGTCACACAGTCAAGGTTTCACAGCTGGGAAATGATGGTGTTTGGGATTTGAACCCAAGGCAAGCATTTATGATGGAGGCCCTTCTACTTATCAAAGTAGTTTCCAGTTAAGAGAAATTTTTTTCTCCTGTATCATATGGTTCACTGAAACATAGACCCAACTATCTAAAAGATCTGGGAAATAATGTAGGCCATTTTCTTGCCAGTAGGTCAGTATTTATGCATGACACAGTACAACACAACATACCACATTTTGTTTATCTGTTCATCCATCTAAGGACATTTGGGTTGTTCCTGTTTCTAGCTATTGTGACTAATGCTGCGATGAATGTGGGTGTATGGATATACCTTTGAGAGACTGTTTTCAATTTGGGGGGCATATGCCCTGAAGTAGAACTGTTGGATCATTTAATAGTTCTATTTTGAGGAATTGCCATGCTGTTTTCTACTCTGGTTGTACTAGTTTACGTTCTCACCAGCATGGAGGAGGGTTCCAATTCTGCACATACTGAAAGTACTTTATACTATCTGTCTTTCTGGTCATAATCAGAGCCCTCTTAGTGGGTATGACATGGTATTTCCTTTGAGTGTGACAGTGGTGTTGTGGTAAAATGTCCTTTTTAAATGAACTGATAGAATAATATTAATAGAATAATGGGACTGTGAAAGTTACCTCTTCATTCTCATATCTGTTTAAGAGAGAGCTCTAGTCAATTAGGAAGGTGATTCTAGGTCAATACAAAAAAGAATCAATTTGTCAAAACACCACGCCACATTTATCAGAGTAACCAATTTGCCAAAATAAGCTTATAGCTTAAGATGGCTGTAGGGGGACAAGACTCTGGGTTTCTGGGGCCTTGACACTCTGCCCCAAGCTGTTTTCCCTTCTCTCTGTAATTCAGCTTTCCTTTCTACTGGGACCCTTCTTCCCGGGACCCTCAGGGGAGTGCCCCTCTCTCTCTCAGAGCTCCTCCCTTAGTGAGCTCAGACCTTCTTTACCTTTATTATGCCATGGCTCATTTTGATAGTATAGCAAGGACCACAGACTCCTTAGAATGTTTTTAAATGTATAAAATACAATACATGGGATTACAAAAGAAATCAATTATATGGAAACACAGTCCTGCAGAGCATCAGGGGAACTGGGACAGAGATACTCTAGGCATTCCAAAATACTGATATAAAAACTCATCAACTAAGACATCACATAAATAACTAAAAGCTTTATATATCTTTATAAGTTTTCAGTTTTTTTAATTCTGCAAATTCAGACAGTTCATTCAAACTGGTGAACTAGGCCTCCTGATATGTTGGCAAAACAGAAACTGACTTTAAAAGAATTATAAATAAATTAGTAAACAGAAACATTATCATATTAGGCAATGAAACTATATTCAAAAGAAGATTTTAATATATCAAATATATTCAAAGGGATATATTGAGCTTCCCAGGTGGTGCTAGCAGTAAAGAATCTGCCTGCCAATGCAGGAGACTTAAGGGATGCGAGCTTGATCCCTGGGTTGGGAAGATCTCCTGGAGTAGGAAATGGCACCTCACTCCAATATTCTTGCCTAGAAAATTCCATGGACAGAGGAGCATGGTGGGTTACAGTTCATGGGTCCACAAAGAGTCAGACATGACTGAGCAACTAAGCACATGGCATCAAGTTATATCTATATATATAATATATATCACTGTTTATAATATATATTAATATGTAATAAATGCATCCATTGATATATCCAATAGACTATATTAATAAGAATAGTCACAAAATATGCTTATATTCATGTTCATAAAATATATTAAGAGAATCAAATAACTATAACAAAATTTTGGTTAATCCATAAATCGTACTAGCCAGCTTCTAAAATTATTCTTCAGGAATGAAGCTGTGAAACTCCTTGGATAAAACCACCATGGATCAGAGTAGAGATGTGCACAGTCCCCTTAGTAGGACTGTAGATCACCAGCCTTGGCTAGATATCACAGAAGGTATTAATATAAACCAAAAAACGAATAATCCATCAGAAGGGGTTATGTGAAGAACACAGCATAAAAATAGGCAAGTGAAGATAGTTCCCACTCTGACTCTCTCATAAGAATGACACTGTTACGGAGATTGGCTCCTTGAGTGTCCAGAGCCAGAGGTCAAGAACACTCAAACTCAAGTGATGGACTTGATTTCCATGCTCAGTAACCAGCTTTGTGATAATCTGGCTTCCAGTGTTGTTTCCTTACAAGGAGAATAAGCACTAATGACCGATACAAGTTTTCTGATTTCCTTGAGAGTTTTGTGCATTCTTGTAAATTAATAAACTGGCATTTGAGTTTTATATAGTTGCTATTTGTGAACTTTACTAACACTTCTCTATATCTACCCAATCCTGGGATACTTACAAGGTCAAGTTTCCAAGCTCATAAAGCTAAAAGGCAGTTTTGGCCAAGAAGTGACTTTGTAAAGGTGAAGGTCACATTGGGAGCCTTCTTGGAGGCCAGCCAATTGTTCAGCCTCTATTGGTATAATTCTGACTTGGGTACGTGTCAATACTTAAACCTGAATACCATTATACACCTAAGGATGTAATAGTTATCTAGTTATTGTTACCCTTGCGGCAGAAATGAGAATAACAATGACTTCCCTGGTGTCTCAGATAGTAAAGTGTATGCCTACAATGCGGGAGACCCGGGTTCAACCCCTGGGTCAGGAAGATCTCCTGGAGAAGGAAACGGCAACCCACTTCAATACTCTTGCCGGGAAAATCCGATGGACGGAGAAGCCTGATAGTCCATGGGGTCGCAAAGAGTCGGACACGACTGAGAGACTTCACTTTCACTTCACTTTCACCCGGCGGCAGAAATGAGAATAATGAAGCAGGGGTGGTGCCCATAGAATACAGAGGTAACAAGAACCGCCTCTTCATTCCCTTCGCTCTAGACATACTTCACTTCCAGAATCTGAATCCAGGTATGTTCTCATCTTAAGACCTCTGCACCTGTTTTTTCCTTTGCCTGAAAAACTATTCTCAGACTTTCATGACTAGCTCCTTCACTTCTTTACACTGTGTATTGAAAGTTGAATGGACTTCGATTCCTGAGATAAACTTTGCTTGGTCATGAGGTATTAACTTTTTTATATATACCAGCTATAGTCAATTGAAAATATTTTGCATCTATGTTCTTGAGGAACACTGGTCTGGAATTACTTTTCTGATAATGTTCCTGTTCATCTTGTGTGTCAGGGTTAGGCTGGCCTCCCAAAATAAGCTTGGAAGAGTTCCTGCCTCAATTTTCTGAAAGAATTTGTATAATCTAGATATTATTTCTTCCTTAAATATGTGATAGAATTTACCAGTGAGGTTATGTCAATCTGAAGCTTTCCTTAAGGGAAGGGTTTTAATTATGAGTTCAATTTCATTGATTTCTAACTCATACCATTTATATAGCCTAATTTGAAATGGATCATAGAGCTAAACATAAAAGTAATTTCTTCCTGTGTTAATGATGATGTGTATTTTTCAAGGAATTTGCCCATCTTATCTAAGTTGTCAAATTTATTGACATGAAGTTGTTTAAAAGAGGCTTTTATCACCCTTTTAAGTCTATAGGACCTAAAGTAGTATCCCCACTATCCTCCTTTTTCTGATCAATATTGTTACATTTTATCAATTTTATCAGTCTTTTCAACTTTTGGCTTTGTCAATTTTTCTGTTTTTCCATTTTCTATTTCTTTCAATTCTACTATTTATTATGTCATTTCTCCCTATTTGCTATTGGCTTATTTTTCTAGTCCCCTATGATAGAAGCTTAGATAATTGTTTCTAAACCTTTTTCCTCTCTAATATATACATTTAAAGCTGTAGGTTTTCCTCTAAATACTGCTTTAATTGTACCTCACAATATTTACATGCTGTTTTCATTATCATTCAATTTCAAATATTTTCTAATAATTCTTGTGATTTCTTCTTTGACTCATGGATTATTCATAATGGTGATGCTTAATTTCAAAATGTTGATGTATTTTCTAGCTTTGCTACTGTTACTGACTTCTAACTGAATTCTGCTGTGATTAAAGAATACAAAATTCTTTGAAATTTATCATCCAGTATACTGTCTATCTTGGTGAAAGTTTCATGTACATTTGAAAACAAAGTATAATCTAGTTGCTAGGTAGAGTATTTTATAAGTGGTAATTAAGTTTAGTTGGTAGATTAGTTGTTCAAATTTTCTATATGCTTGCTTATTGATTTTCTATATTGTTCTATCAATTACTCAAAAAAGTTAAGCTCTCTAGTATGACTGTAGATTTGTCTTTTTCTTTTTAATTTTGTCCATTTCTATTTCTGTATTTTGAAGCACTGTGATTAGGTAAATTTACATTCATTATTATTATTCGTTTCTGACAAATTGACTGGCTCTCTTCAACTATGGGGGTAGTACATACCTTAGAATCTACTTGATATTAATATAGTCATGACCAGCTTTCTTATAAGATTGATGTCTTCACAGTTTATCTTTTTCCATATTTCAAATCATTTGTCTATAATCAAAATGTATCTCTTGTGAAAAAGTTATGTTCCTAAACTGTTTTTTCAATCCAATCTGAAAAATTTCCCCTTATAATTGGATTGTTTAGTCCATTTACATTTGGTATAACTAATGGTATGCTTGGATCTAAGTCTACCATTTCAATATCTGTGTTCTATTAGTCTCTTTTGCCTTTTTTA